GTTATGTTTACCACAGGCTTTATTTTACTCATAAATTGAAAAAACTCATTTCTAAAACCCTGTAGGTTCCAAATCTCGAAGGAACCAGCAACAAATTACACTTCCGGATTCTGAAATCATAGTTCCCCCACTCTATATGTCTTAGGTTTGTGCCCAGCTGTCCTGTAAAATATCTGATTAACCAAGCAAGCAAAGATCGATAACAGGGACCCTGAAGCATATGGAATACATTTTACCATTTTTATCCAAAGTCCCACACACATCTGTCTGCAGCAAGGATAGTAAATTCTGTGATTTACAAACCGAATCCACACATGCATCTAGCTCCCCAGGGTGACAGTTGAGCAACAATGAAAGCTGGAATTAAAGAATAGAAAGTTTAAAATAATCAGAATCACAATGCTTCATGAATTATAAAGAAGTAACTGACTTGAATCATTTAGATATGGTAAAGGTATTTGATAAGCATGTATCATTAGACCTGTTTGAAGTTTGGTACAGGCAGTTCAACGAGGTTAGACCTCTCTTTTTTCGGTTGTTCCTGAACGTCTGCTTTGTCAAAGTCAGGACCGTACTCAACTGGAAACACCTCCTGAAATATAAAAACTCTGTTTCATCTTAAGTTTTCATACAAACCCATTTAAAAACAGCCATTAATTTTTTGCAACTTCACAGCAGTTCTCAAACCAAATGTAGCATTTCTTGTCCAGGCTGGACATCCAAAAACATCAAATATCTTGGTTCTCAAGTCTCTGACATGAAGACTGCAGACTTCACTTTTAAGTGCAAGAGAACTCTGGGAACGAACATTCACCCATAGAAAAAACAGTTACATGTGTCATATTCTAGCAATGCCAAGGTCTCAATAAAATGTAATTCTTCTTTTTTTTTTCTTTGCAGGTATACAAAAAAAGTAAAGGTATACATACAGCTCCTGAAAAAAAGACTTGGTTTTGAATAATACAACAAAACTTTATGGATTTAATCTCAATTTATTCAGTAATGCTGAGTGACCTTGGATTACCAAATTTTACTGTGCACACATTAGCTAACAGTGTGTTTATTTTATTATTATTATTGTGGAAATAAGAGTGTTGAACTTTTCCTGATGCAATGTGCATTTACACTGTTCCAGCATGAATCTGCATTTCATGTTTACCTCCTGGTGTGATTTAACTATTAGCTTGAGATTCATTATGCTTTTCTACATCAAGTTTCGTTTGTTGAGTCACGTCAGTACCCTCTACAAATCCCTGTTCTGACAGCACACATACATCACATACACGTTTACATATTTGTCTTTTCATCTGGAAGATTTCGTACTTATTCTACAATTGATCTGCAATACATCTCACATTTTTTTTAACGGTTCTTAAAGTCACTGACCTGAAAGAAGTATCCTCTTTTCATGGAGTCTTCTAGCAAGCTCAGGACAAGTTGAAGTACGCTGTCTTGTAAACTCTCCATGTCTGTGTCACTCACCTGTGGACAGGCAAATTACATAAACAACATTAATGTCAATATAAAGTTTAATGGTAGCAAATGGGATGTGCACCAATTTGTGCAAAACAAATTTTTTTATGCATCTAAATGCGCATATACTCAATTCACTAAAACAAGAAGTCAACTCAAGACAACTTTGTCACATAAGCATTTGCTAGAAAATGCTGTAGGAAAAGCTTAAGTACATAGTCCAAACATTACAGATGTACATATACAAACAATAACGTTTAACGGAGTAAAAATATGTAATAAACTATACAAATTACACAACAGGGTTGTATAGAACTAGTAGTAATGCATGTGTAAGAACAGTACACGTAGTATAGATAATGCACAGTGTTGTGATATGTATTGTCATATGCGGTATAGCAGTGCGCATTGGCTACATTGTGTGCATCAATTACAGTTCAGCAGTCTAACAGCCTCAGGGAAAAAGTGGTCCTGCAGCCACCTGGTGGAGGACCTGACGCTGCTGTTTTATTACACGTGTTTCTTCCTTGTGTTGACAATAAATCACGCTCCCTAAGGTCGCAAAACTCTGGACTTTTGTTAGTACCTAGGATAGCAAAGTCCACTAAAGGAGGTAGAGCTTTTTTGCATTTGGCTCCCAAACTCTGGAATAGCCTTCCTGATAACGTTCGGGGTTCATACACACTCTCTCTGTTTAAATCTAGATTAAAGACACATCTCTTTGGCCAAGCATTCAAATAATGCATCTCATAATCTTGTACTGCAGCTATATCAAATGCACATTATTATTCTTTAGTTTGGGTTAAACAAATCAATTTTGCTTGGTTGGAACAGCAGCTATGCTAATTATGTCTCTATTTGTTTCTCTGTTTTTGCCTAGGATTTACACAAGCTTCAGTCTGGATCCAGAACACCTGAGAAGAGATGATGCCGACCCCTCAGAGGACCTCAGATGATGCAACCCTGAAACAACTTACAGAACTATGACATTTTGCTATAAATCTGATTGCATCATATAATAATTGCTATTAATAGTGTTCATCGTCTGTTTGATTACATCTTTAATTGATTTTTCCGTACATTTCTGCCATATGTACATGAACTGACAGTCACCACTGATAAGCTACCACTAAATATTGTAGAAACTTAATTTGCTGTAAAGTTGCTTTGCAACGATTTGTATCGTGAAAAGCGCTATACAAATAAACATGAATTGAATTGAACACACACACCAGTAGTGAACACACACCCGGAGCAGTGGGCAGCCATATTGATGCTGAGCCTGTGGAGCAGTTGGGGGTTCGGTGCCTTGCTCAAGGGTCTCACCTCAGTCATGGTATTGAGGGTGGAAGAGAGCGCTGTATATTCACTCCCCCCAATTCCTGCCAGACCTGAGACTCGAACCCACAAACTTTAGGTTATAAATCCGACTCTCTAACCATTAGGTCACAACTGTTCAACAGAGACACAGGGATGAACAACAGACCTTTTCACATTTCTGGTTTTAAAGAAGCAGGGTAAACTTCTATAATAATTTTTGCATTACCAATGGCTCCAACGGTGAAAGAAAACAAATCCATGATTGCCGGTCCATGACTTTTCAACAAATTAAGCAAAATGTAGAAAGATGGATTATGGCAGTTAGAAAATGTCAAATATGCCATCTGATAAGAGCATGATATACAGTAGTCAACATTTGAAGTGGATCAAAAAAGTTAATCAAAGTTTTGATTTACTGCTATAACATACATTTAAGACATTTTAATGCCAATTTTATTTAATGTCTTATTTTTACATTAGGACATTTTTAAGGGTCCACAGACACCCTGATGTCATTTAGTGAAGGTGTCATATACCCAAGTATGCCGCCCCACCATTTATTCCATCCAAGTGCACACACACAGCCGTGAGTAGTGAACACACACACACACACACACACACACATTGAGTGTGCCTTACTAAAGCCTTATTAAAGGGTCTCACCTCAGTCGTGGTATCGAGGGTGGAAGTGGAATTCACTGGACTTCAGTGGAATTCACTCCCCCCACCTACAATCCCTGCAGTACAGAGGACTCAAACCCGCAACCTTTGGGTTACAAGCAAGTGGCAACCTCCCCCTCGCTCTCATGAAGCCAACAAGGAAGTGACTTAAACTGTAATTCATCAACTGGCTACAAAAGGGAGTCAATCCCATAGACTCCCCATGTTAAAATGCCCAACTTTACAGCAGAAAAAAACATGTTTGCAGCCTGGTTCAAAAAATTATTTTGGTCTATATAGCTACTTTTGCCCTTCATGACAACTGTGAGGGGGATGAATTTTTTTATAACTCATCCTTTTAAATTATATTAAGCCTTAAAGTTCTGCATAATTAAGGGTGTGGCCACTTGAGTGACAGGTGGATTGCCGCTGCTGTCACCACCGTTGAGCTAGGTGGGCGTGGCTTCAGCAACCTACTCCCGCCTCTTTGCCCATTTTCGATTATCCTGGAGTGACGCGCAGTGACTCACTGCCAAGATGGCAACAGCCGCCTCCGCCCACTTTTGAGCTTCAAAAATACTCTACGGGTGACATCACGCACAATACGTCCATGTTTTTATACAGTATATGGTTACAAGTCCGACTCTTTAACCATTAGGCTACGGCTGCCTTTCTGATGTTCTTCGTAATAGACATACATACTCAGACTATTCTGATATTAATCAGAATCTTCTTGTGAAAGTAAAAGAGCAAATATACATTTTGAGTGCTTCAGCTGGGTTGTATTAAAATACAAAATTTGTATTTAAAGGTGCAGTAGGAGATCTTGGAAAATGCTATCTTTAGCCTGATAGCGCTGCACGATATTGTAAAAAAACACTCACATTGCGATATTTTTTTTTCTTTCTGCGATATATATTGCGATATGAAAAAAAAATCAGATGACTTCCAATAGCTCTATTTGGGGAAAAAAAATCAGTGATTGGGGTGATTTTGTAGGCGAGTAAATCAGCATAGGAAATAAACAAATTACAAGCATAGATAACAGAACAAAGAAACAAATGAAATAAGCAGTGCTTTATATTTTTCAGGTAAGTCTAACAGTATTCAGGCACAGAAATTGAATAATCAAATGTAAAACAACACTGCATAATTTTCACTATAAATTAAATCTAATAAATCTGTGTTAAAGCTACAAAGGTGATTTTACTTTGTGTTTTGTTGTTTAATTAACGTTCATGACAGAGAAAGCAACAGGAACATTAAACTAGGGATGCAGCGATTAACCGGTTTCGCGATGAACCGCGCTTTAAAACGTCACGGTTAATTAATCGTAAAGGTTCCGTTAAACCGAGTGTTTCTGTTACACGGAACGGAACTGTTGCAGCTTGCGCAAAACGAAAAAAGTTACACTAGCGGTGCACCAGCTTAAAATGACGTGCTTATCAGAGGCACGGAGGCTACTACATGCATTAGATGAACTGTGACAGAGGGACCAAACAGCGAAGCTTTATTTCCACCAGAGAAATGCCTGTTGATAGTGTGGGACCATTTTGGGTACACCAAGAATGACCAGGGTGTCATTTAAATATTGCTGTAAAAAAAACTGCTGCTAAAGAGCGAATACATAAGGGATAATGCACGGCTTGCTGTACATTCAACGATTTTAATGCACGACGTGAAGGCAAGAACCACCTGCTACAGCTCGTTAGCTCCGCATTCTGCCCGCTTCAGATCAAAAAGAGATGAAATAGTGCGGTAAGATCACATTTATTTGAATTAATTAATTATAACATTTAGCTACTTGAATTAA